TACACCGTCACCATCAAAAAAAACTCCCAAGGCAGGGACAGCACAGGGTACACACAGAGCAAAGCTTCCTCTGCCTATTTAAATTGAAAGTAAAGCTTCCTCTGAGATGTAGATATAGGAACAGAATTAGGTCATTCGGCCCATCGAGTTTGTTCTGCCATTCGATCATGTCTGATATGTTTCTCAACCCTATTTTCTTGCCTTCCTGCCCTCCATCACGCTTGCTCCCCTTACTAATCTGGAGGAAAATGTAGGTGGTCTGATTAGTAAGTTCGCGGATGACAACAAAATTGGACGAGTTGCAGATTGTGAAGAGGATTGTCAAAGGATACAGTGGGATGTAGATCGACTACAAGTTTGGGCAGACGAATGGCAGATGGAGTTTAATCCAGACAAATGCAAGGTGATGTATTTTTGAAGATCAAATTCAGATGTGAATTATACTATAAATGGCAGAACACTTGGGGCATTTGGTATAAAGAGGGATCTGGGCATACTGGCCCACAGATCCCTGAAAATGTGGTAACACAGGTGGATAAGGTGAGCAAGAAGGCATACAGCACACTTGCCTTCATCGGCCAGGGCATCGAATATAAACATGTGCAAGGTATATTACAGCTGTACAAAACTTTACTTCAGCCACATTTGGAATATTGCACCCAGCTCCGGTTGCCACACTACCAGAAGGACATGGATATTTTGGAGATGGTGCAGAGAAGGTTTACCAGGATGTTGCCTGGTTTGGAGGGTTTTAGTTATGAGGAGCGGTTTGATAAAATCAGATTATTTTCACTGTAAAGACAGGAGCTGAGGGGTGAGCTGATCAAGGTCTACAAAATTTTGAGAGCCATAGATATGTTTTTCAGAGGCTTTTTCCCAGGGTGGATAGGTCAATTACAAGAAGGCGCAGGTTCAAGACGAGAGGGAGAAAGTTTAGGGGAGAAGTACGGGGAAAGCTTTTCAGCCAGAGGGTGGTGGGTGCCTGGAACACACTTAGAACATAGAACATAACAGCGCAATACAGGCCCTTCGGCCCTTGATGTTGCGCCAAACTGTGAAACCAATCTGAAGCCCATCTAACCTAAACTATTCCATTATCATCCATATGTTTATCCAATGACCATTTAAATGCCCTTAAAGTTGGCGAGTCTACTACTTTTGCAGGCAGGGCATTCCACGCCCTTACTACTCTCTTACTACTCTCTTCCAGTGGAGGTGGTGAAAGCAGGCACGTTATCAATGTTTAAGAGGTATCTTCATAGATACATGAACAGGAGGTGAACAGAGGAATAGAAACTACATATGAGCAATAAGCAGAGGATCTAAATAAGGATTGGGAATCGGCAAAGGCTTGATGGAACAAAGGGCCTGTTCCTGTGCTGAATTGTACTGTAATCAAGAACATAACTACCTTGTGTCAAAGACACTCAATGACTTGGCCTCCACAGCCCTCTGAGGCAGTGAGTTCCACAGGGTCACCACCCTCTGGCTGATGAAATTCCTCCTCATCTCAGTTCCAAAGGGTCGTCCCTTCACTCTGAGGCTGTGCCCTTGGGTCCTAGTCTCTCCCACTAGTGGAAACATCTGCTCCATGTGTACTCTATCCAGGCCTCTCAGTATTCTGTACTTAAAGGGTTAATGTGTGACAGCAAACCTAAAAGGATGAAGCACCAAACAGAGAACTAGCTTGTAAACATTTGGTACAGCATTTATTGCCCATGCCAAGAGGGCACTGAGTCATTGCTGCACGTCTGGAGTCACATGGAGGCCAGACTGAGCAGGTTTGGCAGATTTTCTTCTGTGAAGAACGTTAATGAATTTGATGGGTTTTAACAACTGACAACAATCACCATGAAGTAGCTTTTTATTCCAGTCCTTATTGATTTTAAATTTCACCATCTGTAGTGGCAGGATTTCATAGAATCATAGATCATAGAATCCCCACAGTGTGGAAACAGGCCCTTCGGCCCAACAAATCCACACCAACCCTTGAAGCATCCCACCCAGACCCATCCCCCTATAACCTACACATCCCTGAACACTATGGGCAATTTAGCATGGCCAATCTACCCAGCCTGCACCTCTTTGGACTGTGGGAGGAAACTGGAGCACCCAGAGGAAACCCACACAGACACAGGGAGAAGGTGCAAACTCCACACAGACAGTCGCCCAGAGGCTGGAATTGAACCTGAGGCAGCAGTGCTAACCACTGAGCCATCGTGCCACCTGGGATTTGAATCTATGTTCCCAGAATATTCGCCTGGGAGTGAATTATCAGTGACACTACCGCTATGTCAATGCCTCCTCTTTTACCCCTTTCCCTACACCCCTGTCTCCAACTCTGACATTCTAGGCATTCCCATCTCCCCTCAGCCCATCGCTGATGGGGAACATTCAACCAACTTGGCCCTTATTGCTTGGAGCTCATTCCCTCCTCCACATTTAGTAATCTTATCAAAATGCCCCACAGCTAACCTGAAGCATTGCACCTTGCATGATGAGAGTGTCCTTTCACCTACATTGACCTCAGTTCTTGTACGGACACCTTGTAACGTTTTCCACATGACAATTTTCATTTTCTCCACCATTACCCAATCCAAAATCTAACTCACATTTTAAAAGCTCCTTGATCAGTCTGGAAATCAAAAGTTACAGGGAAATGGCATGGTCTGGTATTATACACAACACATTGGCTACTAATGGGGACTGTTAGTAGCTGATATTCATTCTCCTAAACTGACTGTTATCCACTCCTTTGTCTGTCCATCTGTTCTTCTATCTCTTTAGGTTTCTCTCTACCTACCATTTTCTCCTTACCCCCTTCCCTCACCCTATCTTCTGCATAAAAACCATCCTTTTCCCAGCTACAATCAGTTCTGAAGAAGGGTCATTCGACCCGAAATGTTAACTCTGGTTCTCTCTCCACAGGTACTGCCAGACCTGCTGAGATTTTCCAGCAATTTCTGTTTTTGTTTCTGAAGTCAGAAGTTACACGACACCAGGTTATAGGCCCAACAAGTTTATTTGAAGTCACAAGCTTTCAGAGCTCTCCAAAATTTGTGATTTCAAATAAACCTGTTCGTCAATAACCTGATGACATGTGACTTCTAACATCGTCCACCCCAGTACAACACCGGCACCTCCACAGTTTGTCTCTGAATATACTGAACAAGCCAAGAGCTCCAAGGGCTAACATGATAAAAACGATTACCTTCAATTAATATCAATTTACAGTCCAAATCAATAACAAAAGCTTGTCAGGTCAAGATATCACACTATGCACACTGATGGTTAGAGGACTTGGGGAGAGAGTGAGCTGTGGTGCCAATGGGTTGCAAAGCATATTATAAAATAAATGTTGCAATTAGGTGCTCTTTGCATCACACTACCATTTCAGTTTCCTCTCCCAGCTTGTAAAATGTACTACTTTAATTGTGGGAGAGACGCAGAAACAAAATGATTTTGTGATACGTTGCTGATCTTGATGTGCAGAAGCACAGTCACGATGTACTATTTAAACTACAGACAATGGGAACTGTTTACAAAACTTAGAGTTACACAGGCACCCAGAAACAATTAAAATAACAAAGAAAGTACCGCTGTTTCACAAGGACTTCCACACAGCAGACGTTTTACACAATCCAAGTCAATAAGATTCCTGCAGAGTGTATGTGAGGCAATATTCATGCTCAGGCCTTAACAGCAAGTGTGTCAATTCCAGAAATTGAAACAGTGAACAGAACAGCAAATAAAAAGATTGCTGAATCTGACAGAAACAAGCAGCTTTGCAACAGCAGTCGGTTGAGTTCAGTGAGACCTCTTAACAAGCAAAAGCAAATGTTCATTCCTTGCAGTGAGATTTAACTCAATATTTGGTCCGATCTGCAATTTAAAATGCCATAACATTACTTATTTTGAGAAGGTTAGAAGTTTGCTTCCTCATTGTCCTGACATGGAAGTTACAAAGCCTTTGGCACTGCTCAGTTCAAGGAAGCTCTTAAAGCCAACTTCTATCCCCCTTCAAAGAAAAGGAACGGGGGTGGGGGGAGGGGGGTTGGACTGGTGTCTGAATATTCTATTTATAAACTGAGACACAGTCTGGCAGGAGAAAATGCAGAGGTGCCATTGTGTAGTCTTCAAACCTGGAACTGCCCAAATCCCTATCAAACATGGTGTGAGTCTCACAAGAAGAAATGAGCACTGAACTCTTGACAGTGGGGCCAAAAATAGGTGATTCATGTTAGAATGACAGACACCCCAGAAGGTCAATTACACAGACCAAGTAAGACGTAAGAGCTGTTTCTAAAAACGTGACAAAGCAACTCACTGAAAGTAGAGAGAAGAAATTAATGCCCAGTGGGCACGGAATGCTCCAGATTTCAAGTAAAGAGATGAGAATGAGGCTCATAAAAAAAAATGAAATTCTTTACCTGGCTTTGGAGAGGGCATAATAATCTGGGGTTAAATAAGTGTGAGAAACAAAGTTCTTCTCTAACACACACTCACACTCACACTCACTCATTCTCTCAGCCTCAGCCTCACACTCTCAGACTCACCCTGGGGTGTATCCCTTTCAGATGGGAATCAGACCTGAATTAAGCAGATTGGAGAAGTCATTCCAAAACAGGAATGGGGTAATGCCAATAAATGTGGAGCTGGAGGTGCACAGTGGGCCAGACAGCATCCGAGGAGCAGAAAAGTCAACGTTTCGGGTCGAAACCCTTCGTCAGTCCTACCCAGACTCTAGCTTCCAGCATCTGCAGCCCTTTCTGCCTCCAGGAATGGGGTGTATATCTGAAAGGGGTGGGGAAGGCAACTGTTATACACTAGAGGGGAGGGGAAGGAACAGAATTCAGGTTTCCTCTGTCCCTCTCCCATTCAAAACCTTCCATTTCCTGCTTTCTCCCAGGACCGGGGAATGTTGCAGGAATGGCGTTTTGGAGAGTCAGCCCCACGCCCTGACCCTGGGCTCCATCTCTCTCTCTCTGTCTGTATCTTACCTTCAGCCTTTTGATGGCCAGCTCGGAGCGGAGTTGCTGGACCATCTTCCGGGTGGTGCTCAGGTTAGCTGTAGCCGACATCTGTACGTTCTGTGCAGGCCCAAACGGAGTGTGATTGCGGAGGGAGGTGCGGGCAGTTTACACTGAGCCCAGCCCTGTTCCGGTTTCTCTCTGTATCGCTCTGTTTCTTCTCAATTAATGTCACTGCTGCGCCCCGCACTGTCTACACCAGGAGCAGCAGCAAGAACACAGACAGCAAACTGGGTACACACACACACACACACACACACAGACTGGGCACACACACACACACA